GGGACGGACAACCGTCAGGCAGGCTCCCTGGGCGTCCAGCTCGACTCCCAGCCTGGCCTCCCTTCCCTCTGCATGGCCCAGGCTGCCCCCAGCCAGTGCATAAATGCGTGTGTAATCCCCGGGTAACTCCTCCGGCCGGTTATAATAACTAACAACAGAGGAGCCGTGATAATAAAACTACTCAGAAGGGCCACTGACTGGGTGCTGGCTGTGGGCCAGGCGGCAGTGAAACATTTTACAGGTGGGATTTCACACATGCTCACTGGCTCTTCCAGGCGGTGTTGTCAGGAGCCTGCCTGGCCCACGCGGAGAGGAGGCCAGCCTGGCGGGGGTCCCCTGGCAGCTCCCCCGGGCCACTTGGTCAGTGCTGCGAAGCCTCGTGGTGCTTCGAGCATTTGGCATGTTTTCATTGCTATAAAAATAACGCACTTATTGTAGAAGACGTGAGCAGCGAGGGAACGGGAGAGAGGTGGAGTTTCCTGTGCCCCTCACCCCGGCAAGACCCCGCTGTCACCACACCCCAGATTCATTTTCAACTTGGGCAGAGTCGTGGAAAAGGGACCGTTCTGTTCCCCTGGGAGTCAGCTCTGAGTGGGAAGGCGTGAGCCCGTCCCTGCCGGCCCCTTCCCTCGGCCAGAGGGCCTGCTCCCTGCTTTGGAGGGGCTGGGTCTGTGCCTCCCCACCCACCCACACACTTGGGCTTGGGGGCAGCGCCTGGTCCCAAACCCCCCACAACAGAGATGAACAGTGCTGGGCACTGAAGTGGTGAGGACAGGTTTTATTCAGTGACCAGGACAGTAGGGAAGAGCCGAGCTCCCTCCCACCTGTGCAGAGGTGACGGGAGGTGACTGTCAGGATGGGATTGCAGAGGGCTGGTGGGTGTCTGTGCCCTGCACAGCCCCGTCTGCCAGCTGCTAGTTCTGGAAGGTAGGATTCTGTCCTCGCAGAGACGGGACCGGCCCATCCTTGCCGGTTCCGTTTTAGAGCAGTCCCCTCCGGTCCCTGAGAGACACCTGGGGAGGAGACTCATGATCCCGGGGCTCGGCCTCCTCAGCAGTTGCCCTGAGGAAGGGAGGGCAGGGCCTGTGGTCAGGTGCCGGCTGGAGCAGTCGGCGGTGCAGCAGGTCGAGCTTTCTCAGGCCTCCCAGCGGACATTCTAGGGTTGGGTCACCTCTCCAGGGCAGCGCTCCAAGTTCTGCAGTCTCACCCACTCCTCGCCCACCCGGAACTGGTCACCTGCTCCCAGTGCCTGGCCCAGGGGCATGCGCTGCACAGAAGGGGTTTGCTTTTTTCTTTAGTTGAGGTGAAATCCATACAGCATTAAGTTAACCATTTAAATGTGAACAGTCCCGTGGCCTTTAGTGCCTTCCCAATACTGTGCAACCACCACCTCCCTCTAGAACATTTTCAACCCCCACTGAATCCCTCCTGCCCAGCCCCAGGCAGCCACTGGCCTGCGTTCCGTTTCTGCGGATTTGCCTCCTCTGGACGGGCTCGTATCCGGGGAAGGGTGTCCTGCGCCCCGACTGACGCCCGTGTGCCTCTGTCTTTACAGCTCCCGACTACAGGTCCATCCTGAGCATTAGTGACGAGGCAGCCAGGGTGCGAGCCCTGGATGAGCACCTGAGCACGCGTAGCTACGTACAGGGCTACTGTCTGTCCCAGGCAGACGTGGAGGTGTTCAGGCGGCTCTCGGCCCCCCCTGCAGACACGTGTCTCTTCCACGTGGCCCGCTGGTTCAGGCATGTAGAAGCCGTCCTGGGCAGCCCCCGTGGCGCAGGCCAGCCTGGTGAGCTCCAAGCAAGTGAGTAGCAGGGCGGGCTCCCAGCGGTTAGAACCTCTCCTGTCAGGGGTCACCTCCAAGGTCAGGGCCCCGGGGCATGGCACTGGGGGGCCGTGGTGCCCAGAGGAGCTCATGGGCTGGTTCCCATGACTGCATGCAAGCAAGTGGCCTGGTGGCCAGACAGGGCTCCCTGCGTCGGCTCTTGGAGATCAGGACTCGGGTGGCATCCCTGGCGGAGCAGGGCCGTGAGCACATGCCCCCTGGTCCAGGCCTGGCATTTTCAGCTGATCCCTTGCCTGCCTCAGATTCAGCTTCGGTTCTTTTGCTTGTTCCTTCCGTAAGACCGCAGTGTGTGCGTCCACTGGGTTTAGAACGGTTAAGTCCTGGAGCGAGAGTACTTGACATTGAACTTGTTGAAGATCAAGAGTAAGTCATTTGTCGGCTTGGAGATGAAACCCGCCATGTCCCTATAGCCGCAGCCTGCCAGTGCTGTTCCCAGGGCAGTGTGGCCCCGTTATTTCTGGGGCTCAGCGCCTGCCTTGTCGTTCTCTCCTCTGATGAATCTGCCCGACACCCGCGAGCAGCTTGGCTGTTCCCGAAGTTTCGGGCACTCACCCTGGCCCCCAGGTTCATGGGAGGTGCAGGCCGCCTGCTGCCTCTGCTGGTCCTGCGGGGTCTCTCCCAGACTCCTTTGTGGGTATTGGATTGGTCCACACACCGCACGCCTGCAGCCCTGGCCTGGTCCCCGCTGTAACAGGCGGAGGTGCGGCGTTGTTTGGGGGGGGGCGGGGTTCTGGGTAATCCTGCAAGCACCCCTTCCCCCGCCTAGGGTGGGAGTGTTGCTGTGTAGGTCGTTTCCTTCCTGCGCGTCCTGCACAGGGACCCAAGTGACATCTGTGGTGTCGGGTGCCTTTCTCCCAAGGGCTCAGGGATCAGGTTGTCCCCCGGGACCCCGCTTCCAAGGCTCGGCCGGTATGTTGTCCACTGAGCGAACTTGTTGAAAGAACGCTGCAGACACCCCATCACCCGCATCATGAGACAGACAGGTCTCTGCACCTACAGGTGCCGGGAAAGGAGGGCCACTGGCGGCTGGCGTCACCCGGCCACCCTGAGGCTGCTGTAGGCTGACTCCGAGGCGTGAGGGGGGCTCCCTGGGCAGCACTGGTAGGATTATCTTGCCTCCTTCCACTTCCTTGTACCTCACCGATGCCAGCCTGGGGCCACCAGGGACCTCATGTGCCCCTGGGGATGGCGTGCCAGCCTGCCAGCCAGGGCCGGACCTGCTGCTGCTGCCTGTTGGCCTGTGGCCTCCAGTGGGTCTCAGAACCCTTGGAGTCAGGGTCCTCACCCACGTCCCTCTTGTTCCCAGAATAGAGCAGCGGCCCATCCCAGACAGCTCTGACGCCTGGCCCTGGGGGAAGGCACGTCTTCCAGCCCCTCGCTCCCGAGCACCCGTCTCCCTTCCCTCAGTCCCTTCTCCTGTCGGGCATGCTGCCAGCACCAGATGTCACCGCTCGTTACTGTCCTTCCTGCGGGCCCTGCAGTCCAAGGCCCTTGTCTCCCATGCCCTCTCCCCGTGGCCACGGCCTGTGCAGCCCAAGGGACCCTCGCGGACGGGGAAGTCAGACTCCTGCTCTGCCTCAGCCGCTTCCCAGGATTTGGGCCACTCGCTGTGCCTGGGTCTGTGGCGTGTGTGGAAACAGGACCCGAGTGGCCAGGGTGTGGAGCGCTCTGTGAGGCGGGCACTGGCTAAGTGAGCCCTTAATGCACGAGGCTGTCGGGCAGCTCACAGTGGAAGGCACCCCTCACGAAAATGTCCCCCGTGAAACGGAGCCCGGTGTGATAGCTCCCAGTCGCGCCCTTTGTGAATAGGAGTTTGCGGGTGCCAGGCTTCCTTGGACCTGTCACCAGCAGTGTGGCGGGCGGCCCCTTGGGGGCCCGAAAGCCAGGGCTGACCCAGCGTCCCGCTGGCTGGGATGCTCGGCTGCGCCCTCAGCCCTGTCCGGTCACCAGCCGCCACCAGCCTTCTCAGATGAGCCTGCAGTCAGTGCGCCCTGAGCCCCCCCGCTAGCGGGCGCGTGCTGGCGGTCACGTGGCTCGACAGCGCGGGGACAGCCCCGTCCCCGGTCATCCCAGAGGCAGCGCCGCCTTTGCTTTGGGGGTCACAGGGCTGGAGCGAGGGAGGGGTTGGTGGCGTCATTCAGGGCAGATGGGGCTGGGGTTTCCCTCGAGGGCCTTTGCTGCATTCTCAGTGAACCGAGGGGGCGCCTTCCTCACCGTGGCGGGCACTGGAGATTTCGGCAAGGACTTCGCTCTTCCATGCACCAGGGCCTGTGGCCACCTGTCGGCTTGCTGGCGCCCGCCTGGAGAAGGGGCTCCTGCTTAGCGCTCGTTCCCGTCCCTGCTTGCGCATGCACGCACACACGCACACGCACGCACACGCACGCACACACACACACACAGCTGCCTCCCCCTCCCCTTTGTCTGTCATTCATGTGTGTCCTCTGTGTGGCTGATGTGACCTTGGGCACGTGGCGGGTCCCAGGACCAACTTCTCCGTGACTCCCATGGGGAGCAGCGGGTGGTGCCCCGTTGGCGGCCTCAGTGTAGATTGCAGGGAGGCCTGTGCGGGGCGTCACTGTTGGCAGGCTGGTGGCCCGAGAGAGAATCCTTTGCCAGCACAGGCCAAGGCAGGGAGTGGATGGGAAGAGGGCAGCTCAGGGGCTGCAGGCGGCCTGGTCGGAAGGTGAGGGAACAGGCAGTGCCCAGACTTCCCCGTGGTCCCGTCCCGGGTGGCCATGTGCACCATGGAGGATGGCACAGTGGTCTGTGGGCAAGGTCTGAGGGGCACCTGGAGGTGGTTGACCATCGCCAGATGCCCATGGGTGCGAGTGATCACCTTAGCGGTAATTCCTAGCCCCGGGCCCAGCCGCGGCCCTTGAGGCGCTCAGAGCACAGGGGGAGAGGGAGCCACCGCCTTTCACCCAGCTGCAAGCGTGGGCCTGGGCCGCCCAGCAGCAGGGGCGGCCCCTAAGACCCGAGGAAGGGCGGTGAGCCCAGCCTGGCCGGGGACACCGCTGAGGATGGGGTGCCTGGGAGAAAGTGATTTCACCAGATGCAGCTCTGTGAGCCCTGCCCCGGTGGTGCGGGGATGGACCTGCTCTGTCTCCAAGGCGGTCGAGAACCCGCCAGAGCGGGAAGCCGCAAGTGCCGTGTCAGAGTCCTGTTAGACACCCCCGCTTGCTGTGGGGCGGGGGCCAGAACCGAGTGGGGCCAGCTACTTGCTTACCCGCTTGTGACGGAGACAAGGGCTGGCCGCCGTTCTGACTGACTTTGCGTGGCCACGAGCCAGCAGTGGTGTCTGGCCTGGCCTGGCTTCTGCTGCGCCTGGCAGTGGCCCCACGGGTTTTCCCCGAGGGAGGGCTGTCCTCCCTGGGGAGGGCACCCGAGTTATATATTACCCTGTAGTCTGGCAGTGTGACCACGTGTTTGAGGGCCTGTGCCTCCTTCTGACCCCTGAGTCATGTCTGGTGCTGTCACATGTGAGCAGGGGGACACGTGTGTGAAGGGCGGTGGGATGGCCTGGGGTGGCCGTGGCATTCACCGTGGCACAGATGGCGAGAAAGCTGAGTGGGGAAGCCGCTGTGTTAGACGTGGGTGGTGCTGGCAGACTCGGTCGTTCAACATTGTGTCATGTGTTAGAAACAATGTAACCAGCGGCGTGACCCGGCTGCGCGCTCTGCCCTGCAGGTAAAGGCCGACGGGTGCAGCCTCCGTGGTCGCCTCCAGCCGGATCGGAGCCATGCAAGCTGCGCCTGTACAACAGCCTCACCCGGAATAAGGTCAGCAGGGGTCACCCGGGGTGGGGGCGCAACCCCACAGCCCTGTCAAACCACGGAGCTGCTGTCTGCCTGTCATCAGGCTCTGGGACGGGCTCTGGGATCCGTGAGTCCTGCTGTGCGGTCCCTCAGCCGCTCACCATGTGCTGTCTGTGTGGCCCGGGCAGAGCGTGCCCTATAACCCAGCACCGGGGGCCCGCCTGGCAGGGAAGCCCACCCTCGGCCAGCAGGTGTGGAGTCCCCGAGTCGGCTCTTGGGCCCTGCCCAAGCGGGACACTCACTGTCATTGAGAGCCAAGCCCTGCTTTCAAAGAGGACGCCTGGTGGCAGCAGATGCCACAGTGCACGCCAGGCGGAACAGGAAACCGGGGTCGTGTGAGGTGCTGTTCTGTTCTGCTCGGCGTGGCCAGGGACCCCCGCAGTTTGGGCCCATGGGGTTTCCATCAGTGAGCGCACAGGGGCCAGTGCCCACGGCCCCTGAACTGGTCTGAGGCTGCAGGCGTTCGGTAGGCGGAGGGGAGAGCCACTGGAACGGCTTGATTCTGGGGTCCCGCTTCTAAACTGGCTCCTAGGGGTGGGGACCCTGGGCAAGTGCTTGAAAGCGGTGCCTTCACCTATGACAGGAATCTAGCAACACCTGCCCCCCCAGGTTGTTTGTAGGAGCAGGTCTAGGTCCTGCTAAGCATTCAGCGCAGGCCTGGTGCGCAGTGGGTCCAATGACCTAGCCAAACAGGCCTGGCACACAGTAGGTCCAATAACCTAGCCCCTGTTGTTAAGGGAGCAGCAGTTCACTGGAAAACACAGGTGTCCCGTTTCCTCTGCCTCCTGCCTCCGGTGCGAGGAGGCTTGACCACCAGGGCTTCTGGTCCGTGGAGGGTCACCTTCGGGAGTCTGATGGACTCTTCCCCCTGCCCCGGACTTGGTGACTTTTCAAACCAAACGGTCCTTGTTGGATCTTGTTTAAAGCACACAAACCAAGGTGTGTTGGTTGCTGGTCCGGGTGGCCTGCCCTGTGCCGCTGCATTTCTGTGACAGTCGTCCCTTCCCTTCTGACACAGGACGTGTTTATACCTCAGCACGGGCGGAGAGTGACATGGTACTGCTGTGGGCCCACGGTCTACGACGCGTCTCACATGGGGCACGCCAGGTAGGAGCTGTGAAAGCAGCTGGGGGGACACACGCAGCAACGTGGCCTTGAGAGCAGCTTCTCTTGTCTGCAGTTTGAACAGAGGGGCTGTTGGAACCAGAGGAGCCAACAATCTTGGGGTTTAATTACCAGGTGCTTCTCATAAATTACGGACGGTGCAGCAAAGAGGGAGGGGGGCCTTTTCCCGTCCCTGTACAATCCATGCCACTGCAGAGAAAGCAGAGAGTACCGATAACCGAAAAGAGAAACACCCCACAGCCCGTGGTTAACGCCTGGGTGATGCGGGACCCGCAGCTCTGTGGAGGGCCTGGGCGCCGAGTTTCCCGGCCTGCCCGAGGCCGCGGCCCCTGGCGTCGGTGGGCTGTGGCGGTCCGAGCCGCCGGCCCTTGGGGCTGTGTGGAGCCTTCTGCCCGCCGCCAGGATGCTGTGCTCCATGTGCTGCGCAGCTGGAGCGCTCTGCCTCCCTCTGCCTCAGGTCCTACATCTCCTTCGACATCTTGAGGAGAGTGCTGAGGGATTACTTCAAGTTCGACGTGTTTTACTGCATGAACATCACCGACATCGACGACAAGGTAGGATCACCTTTTATACGAATGACTTTGGGGCAAGTAAACAAAACGAGGTAGGCTCAGGCCAGCGCAGGTCCTGGCCTGCTGGGCAGGGTGCGAATCCCCTCGATGGAGCAGTGTCGCTGTTCATGCGAACGTCAGTGGCCCGTATTCAGACACGTAGCCGGTGGCTGTCCAGGACCGCTCGGATCACGTGATCACGGAGGGGGCCCTGCGGGAGACCCTGGGGCCACATTGGAGCAGGCTTGGGACCAGAGGTTGGGGATGGAGGGGGTGTTCGTGTTCACGGCTGGCGCGCACCCGGGGCCGCGGCTGCCCTCACCCAGGCTGCGCCTGCTGCACGGGGACGGCGTGGCTCTGAGCTTGCACCCACCGGCCTTTTCTCTCCAGATCATCCGGAGGGCCCGGCAGAACTACCTGTTTGAGCAGTATCGGGAGAAGCAGCCCCGGGCTGCCCAGCTCCTGGAGGACGTGCCCGCGGCCCTGAAGGTGGGCCCCTCGCTGTCTGCGCCTCGATTCTGGGTCACGGCCCTTGGCCATTCACGTGTCACTGGCCTAGAGTAGTGGCTGTCCTCGTGCACAGTGCTGAAGGCAGTGCCATTGGGGCCACCAGACTCTCAGTCGCCACGACAGGTGCCCAGGGACGGGGTGGTGCAGGCGACTGTTCCTGCCACTGTGGGAAAACCTCAGGATGCATCGCGTGCCGCTCGCCTGCACTCGCTTGTAAGATGCTCCTGTCATTGCTGTCGGATCTTCCTCGGTCAGGTCACAGCCAGTCCTGTGCTTCTGACCGAGATGCAGAAGCTGGGCCAGGCTTCTTTTTTTTTTCTTCTTTTAATTAAAAAAAAATTCTTTTATTGTTTTTGTTTTTTTAAGAGAGGAAGGGAGAGGGGGAGAGAGAAAGATCAATGTGAAAGCATAACATCGATCAGCTGCCCCCTGCACGCCCCCCACCAGGGATCCAGCTGCAGCCGGGGCATGTGCCCCGACCAGGAATCGAACCCGCCGCCTCTTGGCTCACGGGGTGGCACCCAACCGAGCCACACTGGCCAGGGCATGCCAAGCTTCCTAGATTATAGTACTGCAAATCTTCAGGACTATTTGAAGAAACAGATTCTTTTCAATTTAATATTTTCTTTTTTTTTTTTTAAATACATCTTTATTGATTTCAGAGAGAGGAAAGGAGAGGGAGAGAGAGACAGAAACATCAATGATGAGAGATTCATTGATCGAGCCCACAACCCGGGCATGTGCCCTAACCGGGAATCGAACCCCGATCGCCTGGATCCCAGGTCGACGCTCAACCGCTGAGCCACGCCCGGCCGGGCTCCAATTTAATATTTTCATTTTGAGTAGACAGTGTTACAAATTGTTGCATTACCCAGTGAGATTAGCTTAGATTGTTTTATTCTCCTTGACAATCACTATCGCTGGTAATTACAGTAATAATCGCTGGTGCCTTTTATCTCTGGATTAGAAACAAGAGTAAAAAGGACAGCTTAGCGATCTTTTAGGCCAACAAGGGGAAGGCCCACTTGGCCGTGGGCACCTTCCTGATGGAGGCGGCCGGTGGCACCTCCCGAGGTTCCTGGGTGACACACCCCTGTACCCCGGGCACAGCCTTAGGAGAACTGCTCCTACGCCCTCTTTACCTCAGAAACAGAGGCACGGTGGGGCGCGGCCCACGGTCATGTGAGGTCCCTGCAGCGCCAGGGCTGCCTGGGCCAGGATTTCATTTTTTAGATCAGAGTCATACACATTTACGGGAAAATTGAGAGGCTAGTACAAAGGGCTCCCACATGCCCCGCCCAGCCTCTGTCATTAACAGCTCGCTTACTGTGGTGCGTTGTTAAAATGAGTGAGTTAATAGAGATACCTTGTTATTAACTAACGTCCGTAGTTTACTTAGACTTCCTTAGTTTTCCGCTAATGTCCTTTCTCTGTTCTAGGATCCCATCCCGACACCGCAGTTACACTTAGTTTTCACGTGTCCTTAGGCTCCTCTGGGCTGTGGCCGTTAATCAGACTTTGTTTTAATGATCTTGACGGTTTTGAGGAAAACGGGCCGGGTACTTTGGAGGATGCCCCGCTGCTAGAATTTTCTGGTGTTTTTCTTGTGGTTCGATTAGGGCGGGTTCTGTGAGCAGCGGCTCACGGGCTTTCCCTTTCCCTCTCCTCCCCGCTGCAGCTGTTCTCGGTGAAACTGAGCGAGACCACGGATCCCGACAAAAAGCAGATGCTGGAGCGCACCCAGCAGGCGGTGCAGCGCGCCCTGGAGCCGCTGCGGGAGGCCGTGCGCGCCGGCCTC